TACTGTAATGCTTGGTAATTCCTGCAATATTTCAAACTTTTTCAAGATTCTATCTATAGTGGTCTGTGGATCTCTTGTGTTACTACTGTAACTGGGGTGCCACACACAGCCAGCATCCACTGAAAAAGGTGAACTTAATTGATAAGTGATGTGTGTGATCTAATTGGCTTTCGTTCCCTCTCCTCCTCGAGCCTCCCTATTTTGCAGGACTCCAGAATATTGAAATTAGGTTAATCAATAACCCACAGTGGCCTCTAAATGTTCAAGTGAAAGAAAGAGCCACATGTCTGTAATTTTAAACCAAAAGTTAGAAAATGATTAAGCTTAGTGAGGTTAACACAGGCTAAAAGGGGATTCTCTTCTACCAGACATCCAAGTCACACACCCCAAGGAAAAGGAGGAAGTTAACCGTGCTTCTCCATGAACTCAGGAACTACACGCAAGTGACAGCCTACTACTGCTATGGAAGACCTAACCAGCCACAACATTCCACAAGACAAAGGCTAGTCCAAGGCAAAAGCCATGTCCTTTCAACTCTATGACGGCTCAGAGAAGCTGCAAACGTCCGAGGACAGCCAAGGGTGGCTTGTGGGTTTGAGGAAAGACACTGCCACTGTATTACAAAAGGACAAGGAGGTGTGAGGGCGCTGGTGCAGAGGCCACAGCAGGCTGTCTCAGTCTAGCTAAGCCTGGTTACCCCAGACAGCAGATGCTCGAGTAGAAGAAAAGAGCTTTCTGCTGGAAGAAGATGCCACCAAGAACTTTCATAGCTAGAGAGAAGTCAGTGTCCAGGCTCAAAGCTTCGCAGGCCAGGCTGCCTCTCCTGGTAAGGACTGATGCCACCGTGACTAAGTTGAAGCCAGTGCTCATTCTGAAAATCCTAGGGCCCCTGATAACCACACTAACTCTACTCTGCCTGTGCTGTATACATGAAGCACACAGCCTAGATGACAGCACATCTGTTTACAGAATGGTTTATCAACAGTGTAAGCCCACTCTAAGACTTACTGCTCAGATAGATTCCTTTCAAAATAATAGTCTCACTGGCAATGTACCCAGTCATCCAAGAGCTCTGATGGAGTTGTACAAAGACATTAACGTTGTTTTCATACCTGCTAACACAATGTCCATTCTACAGCCCATGGGTCAAGGAGCAATTGTGACTTTCAAATCTTATTATTTGAGAAATACATTTTATAAGGCAATAGCTACCATCAATTGAAAACCTTTTGGAAAGGATTCAATATTCTAGATGCTCAAATTCAAGACATATATAGAGAAGGTCAAATATAAGCATTAACAGGAAGTTGACCCTAATCTTCACAGACAATTTTGAGGGGTTCAAGATTGTCGCAGAAGCAACAGAGGTGGTGGGAACAGTAGGTACCAGAATCAGAAGTGGAGTGTGGCGCCGTGGCGGCGCTGCACTCATCCCATGATTAAGTTCTCAACAGGGAGGGGCTGTTCCCTATGTTGAGAACAGTAAACGTTTTCTTGAGATGGAATCTTATCTAGAGAATATCAGAGATTCATTCTGGTTTTTCAAAGAAGTCCTGTCAGGGGAAAGAAGTCCTGTCATGGGAAAGGTGCCACCAAACTACATCACATGCTGCAGAGAAATTCCGCCTGAAAGGAGTGTAACTGATGAAGGAGTTCAATCAGTCAACAGTCATCAGTATCAGAGCAAGACCTTCAACTAGCTGCAACATTATCACTTGCTGAAGGTTTTAAAACTGAGATATGCACATTTTTTGGACACCACAGTGTTGCTGTAGCCTGAGACTGCAGCGCAGTGTATACAGACTCTAAATGTACCAGGGAGAGCAAGTAAGTCGTGGGCCTGGACTTACTGTATGTCTTAACTGTGGTGGTCTGGAACCAAAGCCCACGTGTCTTTATGGTGCTCCTGGTGCTGTCAGCTTTCAAGCTCTGTAAACTCCTCTTCTCCTCTCTCAGAAGCACAGTGTAATGTGGCTTCAGTAAGGGAGACACCTGAGACTCTCTAGTGAGGGTGGGTAAGAAGACTCCCGATAGACAGAGAGCCTATTGCTAGGGTAACTCCACCCCTTCTTTCCTACATCACACAAAGAGAGGCCACGCGTCAACAGAGTCTGCCATGCTCCCTTCCCTGAGGCAAAGCCTCAATGCCTGCTCCAAACACACCAGAGACAGCTCTGTGTGGTACAGGCTTTGATTCTTTCCTTTTCATCTCTGCATACAAACACCATGAGGAGCAAAGTGGCTGGCCCTTGACTTTGTTGTTGTTGTTGGGGTTTGTTTTGGTGGTGTGAGGGATGGAACACAGGTCCTCGTACATGCCGGGCCAGAGCTCCACCACTGAGCTACATCCCTAGTGCTCACTAACAGATTTTTAAGAAGTGCATAAGGTTATTGCCTTTGAAGAAATAGCAAACCTAGCAAGCCTGGAGAACACAGGCTTAGTAATCCTGTGAACAGGTGACTACTTGTCTCCTACGTTAGCCCACCTAAGAGAAGCTCAGTGGAAGCTCTGAAGAAGGGAACCCAAGAATGGAATCTCGTCTAAGGAGAGTCCCTGTTAACTGGGCTAATCTGGAGGACTGCTATGCCAGATGGCCTGCCGACTAAACTAGCAATGACTGGGTTCCTAGACTCTAGCAGAGAGAAGATGCCAGGATATACTACTAGCAAGAAGGCCTTCAACTTAGAACTTCTGTGCTCTTCAAGTCAAACCATAAAACCATGCACACGGAAGTGCAAGACATGAACAGATGCCCCAAACCTAGAGAAGATTAGGTTAAAACACACAGTTGGCTTTAAAATCCTGTTAGTATATAAACAGAAAGTATCTACAGGCACATAATAGAAAATGTTAACAGTAATTAACTACTGGTAGTAACAGATTAAAATTACAGAAAATGCATAGGTTATGGGGAGAGCATCTTCTAGAATTCATATTTCTGTGATGTTTGCAATTTTTAAATCATATCTATTTCCCTGTATAATCAGAAAAAAGAAATGGGAAAACAAGATGAGAATGAAAACAGCTTTTTCTTTATTTACCAAAGGTGAAGGATGGAAAAGGCTCTGTGGACACCGCTTTCTGAGGTGCAGAGGCCCCACAGCACTTCTTTTTTTTTTAAATTTTTTTTGCAGGTTTTTTAAAAAATTTATTTATTTTATGTGCATTGGTGTTTTGCCATGGGTGTCGGGTGCCCTGGAACTGGAGCTATGGACAATTGTGAACTGCCATGTGGGTGCTGGGAATTGAACCCAGTCCCTGGAAGAGCAGACATTGCTCTTAACCACTGAGCCATCTCTCCAGCCCCGCCCCTCCCTGCAGCACTTCTGAGGGTCGGCACGGCCCTCGAGGACTTGTCCCCTGAGGCCTGTGCTTGAGCATCTGACTTTCCATATCTGAGCACCGAAGCACAGCTGCTGCTAAGCAGCCTAAGCTTCTGATCTAGAGCTGTGTTAATAATTTATTTCAGAATGTTCCTCAAAGCACTTCCTGGTGTTTGGGCAGGTTCCACAGGAATGGTGATACGCTGTCTTGTGTGTTTCCTGAACATACGGTTTTGTAATTCAAATCTGCTGCACTGATGAGTGGTCTGAGTCCAAGGCCCGGGAGTATATGTGCAAGGTTCCTCTGTCCAAGAAGCCCAAGGCAGCAGCATTCTCTGTGATGCCCCCGCCAGGGGCCAGCCTCTCTGAATCACGGCTGGCCACCCACTCAGGCAGAAGACTGAGAATCACCAGAGACTATTATCACATGAATGGGAAGTCAAGTCTGAGCAATTAAAAACAGACCAGGATAATGACTTTTTGCAGCAGGCACATAATTGGAAATATTAATAGCAAGTACTGGAGGTAAATTTTTGTTAAAATTTCAGAAAGTGAATATTAGGGGGAGAGTACAATTTCTATTTCTGTTAGTATTTCTTAAAATCACACATATTATCTGTCTGATCAGAAAAAGAAACAGAAAAATAAAATGAAGAAAAGCTTTTCTTCATAAAGAAAAGTGAGGTCTAGTGATGAAGCGGCACTGTGCAGCCGTTTCCAGGAGCATGGAGCTCTATAGTGGAGTAGGGTGGTCCTGGCTCAGACTGGCTCCAAGTCGTGGCAATCTTCCTGCCTCAGGCTCCTGGGTACTGGGATTATAGATGTGCCCCACCATGCTGGGCAGGCCAACGACTAGTTAAAGCAACTTTCTGGAAACACTGCTTTTGTCTGAAGAATTCCTTCTCATCCCTGGTCTTTCTCCGGATGGACAGTGACATCCTGGAGACCCTTGCTCTAGTGCTCGTTCTACTTGGAAGCTTTCTTTGGAGGTTACCAGCTTTGCTCTAGCCTCACTCACTTATCAGGAAAACCTGACTTTAGAAAATGTGAATGTAGGGCTTCAACACGTGAACAAATGTCTGCTGCATCTAGTCTAGAGCTCAAAGGGCGAATTTCAGAAGTTAAAATTTGTTTGATCACACGTTGCCTGAGGAAGTCCCGTTCCCTGCTCCGCTTACTGCTCCTAACTTACTTTTATAGTCAGGCCCACACTTGGGTTCTTACTGGGTGAAGCTAACATTGTGTTTTCTGATTCAGGTGTGTGTGTGTGTGTGTGTGTGTGTGTGTGTGTGTGTGTGTGTGTGTGTGTGTGTGTGTGTGTGTGTGTGTGTGTGTGTGTGTGTGTGTGTGTGTGTGTGTGCGCGCACGCGCGTGCGCAATTGGAGGCGTGTTTTCTCACTGAGGCAAGGACCTTAGCTGTGAATTTCTGCATCAGAGCCAGCAGGGGGAGCTCACTCACACAAGACTCTGCCAGCTAAGGTGGGAAAACAATCCAACTTTCTTTAGGAGAAAAGGTTCTTTGGATGTGAGTGAATTATCATACAATAAAGCAATAGGATGTCAATTTGGTGTTGAGGTAAAGAACCCTTGACAAAGCATATTTAGAAAGTGTCTAGCAGACACTGCTTCAAGGTCAAGGCTACCGCCACAGCGGGTGTGTATATAGTCTGCCATACCTGTTTTTCAAGGCTTGGTTTGCTAAGCTGTACAGTCTGAGGTCCAGCGAGTCTGGTCCCTGGAGTAGCTATCACAATGCTGGTGAGCTGGGCCATGGGGAACGTTTTGGCTATGGTTGCGGTCTGCCCATTGACGACACGGACGGGGTGGATGGAATTCTGGGATGTGGGGAGGGTTGTGGGTGTAAACTTGGTCAGCATGACAGGCCTCTGGATAAGCTGAGGAGCTGCAAGCATGGGAGGAGGCGCTGGAGCAATAGGAATGTTATTCTGGGCCACAGGCTTGGGGCGGACCTATGAGAGAGAAGAATACTGTGTTACTGGAGGTAGCCAAGGCTTCTAGCATTTCCAGGCTGACTGCTGCCAAAGGTGGCTCATGACAGTCTTTTAAGTCTGAATATTTATCTCAACCTAAAATGATCCTGTGATGGCTGCTTCTGAGATAGTGGTAAGAACTATGTTTAACATTGTTATCAACACCCATGGACATATATTCCTAAAACACAAAAGCTTCATGAAATCTACACCACACTGATTTCATTGTTTAGTCCATGTTTAGTCCTTTTGATTCCTTACTGAAAACTCTACACAGGGCTACTGTGAGAAGGAAAACAGACAGCCTCTATGACATTGGATTCACATCATTTCTGATAATGCCCTAACTGCTCTTCCTACTCAGTCTTAAGTACTTCCAACCTGTTGTCTGCATAGCAGAAAGAGGGAATTTCTAAAACATTAAGTGTGATCATATCATGTACTCGCCTGAAGATACTTCCACAGATCCCCACTGCTGCTAGAACATAGCCCACATCTCTGCACAGCGGCAAGGACCTCAGGCTCTTCCCCAGTGTGCTTTCCCAGGCTCTTCTCTAAGTCTAACTGGGTCAGCTTCGTGGTCTCTGCACAGCCACAGCAATCTCCTTGGTTCCTTGAACACATGTGTGTGTCTCCACTCCATACACACAGCTTATACTGTATTCTCAGTCTGGGACATTTTTTAAATTCCTTCTTCAAAATTTTATCAGACAGACTTTACTGGGACTTTAGGCCTCACACCGAACATAGATTCTTCAAGGAAATCACGAATGCACTTTCTCTATCTGTCTAGAATGGTCAGTGTCCCTTCTGCCTGCTCAGCCTACCATACATCCCTTATGGACACTGTAATTCCCTATAGGAAACTGTGATGCTACTCTCAGACAGCTGAGAACTGTGCCTTGAAAATCAGCATATCCAGGGCACAAAAGCTTAGTCAATGTTTGCTACCCACAGTATTTATTAAAGATGTATCTGGAGAATAACAGGATGGCCTCCTCTCATGCTGGCACTGCATGACCCCTCACAGACAGACTCTTCTCTCCTCTGTCTGAAAGCTACACCTCAGAGAGAAACTCTTGGCCTCTCTATTGGATGGACTGCCTGGAGTCCACTAGGGTTGGTCTAGTGCTCGGAGAACTGCCAGGGGTGAGGAGCAGCAGTACTGCTTAGGCCTGGGCAGAAAAGCCCAATGCAAACTCCTACTCCAACTTCTGTAAGCAGGATTCACAACGACTTGTTTGGCTGTTGGCTGTTGATTCTGTCTCCTTTTAGCAAGGGGAAAAGACATCAAAAGCGGTACACATCTCTGCCCCCTACTGCCAGGACAGTTTTGACTGTATTTCCCTCAGGCAAGTTAGTAGTACCACTAACGATGCTTCCGCTGGCATCGTCTCGGCTGCCTTCCATTCAGGGAGTTTTGCTCCACTTCCACTCCATGGGCAGCCCGTGGGGATGCATGCCACTGCCCCCACCACTGGGTTTCTCACTGGCTTACTCACCTGTGGAAGGAAGTTTGGACGTGGAGTGAGTCTAGGAGGAGGGATAAACTGTGGTACTTTGATGGGCTGAGGAGGTGTTGCTTGAACCTGCTTAAAACAAACAAACAAAAAACAAGAAAGACAGATAAACATGAGAGGGCAGTCACAATTCAGTGTCCGAGGCAGACACTCAGAGGACACAGGTGTCTGCCCTCCACAGCACACAGCACACAGCATTCCCACCAGCTCTGGCCATGCACTTCACTATGTGAATTAACACTGCTTTAGAAACTATCTTTCCTGCTGCACACTCGATCCCATAAAGTGATCTACCACACGCCTGTCTCCTCACATACCTTCTGCAGAACAAAGTAGGCTCAGCAATCTTGGACACTCATGAACTCTCTTACACTTAGGTATTTTAAGAGTCAAAACTATATCTGAAGTAAAGTCAAACTTGCTGCCTGTCTGAATGGATTCCCCCCACAGATTCAAGCTTTACTCAACAGAGAATGACTGAAATGCTTTCCTCCTACCGAGAACTCTGAACCCTAGTACCTGGCTGAATGATAGGGCTACTTCTCTAAGGACTCCTGGGTAAGGGACAAAGCTTCACTTGGTTGCTACTTTTATTCATTATTGGTCATTATTCAAAAACACCAAGAGCTTTGTCATTTGAAGAAGATAACTGAGTATCACAATTTGGACCTGGTTCTCATAAACTGCCAAGAACAACAGTGTCTAATGGCTCGATCCTGGAAATCTCATGGACAGTCTTGTACAAGTATTCCCTCCAAGGGATCCTCCCTCTGGTAGGACTTGGCCTTTGACACATTCATCTCTGAATTTCTTTAATATTTTTAAAGTGTGCCCCAACCACCTCTAAGTACTTTCTGGCTGCATTCAAATTAGAGGGATAATGAATAGAAAGGAGGCAGCAGGGGTTTTCCTCAAAGCAGACCACAGCACAGGGAGTTTCAGCACTCAGAATTCATGGGGGATGTGGGGAGGTGGCAGTGGACAGAATGGAGGGAAAGAGAAGTGAAACAGCGTGTGTCTTTGTGAAGGACATTTTCCCTCCCAAACCAAGTCCTAATTTGACCTCAGACAGTGTACTAAATCCGGTCCCTGGTGTCAGGACACCTCTGTAGTTAACTGACAGGCCCACAGGGGAGTTTGCTTTGCTAGGAAAATGATAGGAGTTTAGAAACCCAGCAGGAGCCTAAAATGGAAACACTCTACAATGCACAACCTGAACCCTCTCATGTGAACACACGAGGAGCAGCTACTGGCTTACCAGAGTGACTGTGTTTTTTGCCACAATTTGGACAGCCTCTGCCCCAGGCCCAGGGACCTTACTAGACGTCTGGAGGTTGACTGGTGTGTTCTGCACATCAGTGCTGAGCACAGCTTTCTGACTGTTGATGGCGGTCACCATAGCAATGGTAGGTCTCTGGCCCACAACAGAGGCAGGCATGGTCGCAGTTGCTGCTTTCAAGACGAGAGGTAGTGTCTTTGTGGTAATCATAGAAGCTGTAGTTACAGTCTTCTAGGAGACACGGAGAACAGACATTAGGACACTGGAATGTGAGCCCACTGAACACTATGTTTCTGAACTCCCAAAGGAAACAAAGCAACCAAGTTTGTCTATCCAATGAACATTTGTGATATAGAATATGCGTCTTACTATAGAGAAAAAAACCCTCTAGTTTCTCAAGTTAGGGTCACTTGTAAACAGGAAAGCTCACTGCAGTGAGTACACACTCATATAGACACAGGTTTTAAGCAATGGACAGTGCACATCTACAGGTACAGAATATGAGTGTACTTAACTCTGATAAAGTGAGTTAACTCATATGTAAGTTGCACACTGTCTCTACCCCTGATTGCTATAACCTCACCCATCTGGCTACTTGCTGCCCGTGACACAAGGCAAAGGGCAGTGTCTTTCCATCTGTCTGAGGGTCCCCCTGGGGAAGTAGAAGGGAAACTCACAAGAGGACCAGCATAACCGCTGCCTCAGAGGTAGTAAACCCCAAGCTCCAGATAATGATGCTGCTAACGAGCACAGGAAATGCCAGCTTTCTATTCCAAAGGGGGCTGAGCCACTACCTACAGTCTTTCCTCTGGAGAACTGATGTGGAAGTGATCAAAGAGTCAGGGAAACCAACAAGGTGGGAACAAACACCTGGCTTCCAAAAGCCTTGGGAATCAGAGGAGGAGTGTCAGTGAGGACCTGACTCTTCCAGGCTGTCTCCGAAGCATTGAAGCTGCATTTGCCTAATGTTTTACTAGAACAATTACAAAGGTCTGTTATAGAAACCACTCACTACACGGCACACACATCTACCTGGCACTACTACCAATCCCTCGAGATGCAGACCTTTCAGGAACACAAACATTCATCTCCAACTCACTGGTTCTGTTATTTACTCCACTTTAACTTCTCCTTCTAAAATGTACTCTACAGTTTGGCTTTTTATAAACTTCAATTAAAAAATTAAAAGGTCAGTCCTGCACTTGTACTCATCACATTTTTCTCAGCCACATGTGGCAAGGAACTAGCAGCTGGGTGGTGGGGTGAGAGCATGCCCAGTTCTGCAGGAGTTCCATGGCAGCCCTTTCTCCTCCACACACGGGGAAAACCTCCCTGAAGAAGTTTCACCTCTATGCCATGTGAGCACCATGTATCCAGCTACTGAGTGTGTATAATTACTTACCTTTTCTGCCTGACATGTGCGTGCATGCATGCACACACACTCATCTTTTAAAATTTCCTTTTAACAACAACAAGAAAAACATAATAAGGTGGCCTCATCCATCCCACCACAATTTAATCAGCAATCCTTATTGGTGTCTACAATTAAACCCCCCCAAATCTTAGCTTTAGTTTCCAAGGCACAACACAGGCAGCTCATGCCACCTGCCACTGCTGTCTCAAATGTGAAATGGCACCTGGGCAGCAGCAGGTCAGGGTTGAAAGCGACAACAGCTAACTGCCATTTTATCACCGGAGATGCAGCAGCATAGGCTCTCTCACAAAGACAGTTGTCGTAGAGTTTTAAACACAGTATGCAATCAGCCTCATCTTTCAATTTAAAATGCTTGAAAACCAAGAGCTTTTGAAGTGGTAAGCGAGCAAGCCATACCAGACGGCCTTCAATCTTAGTGTAACACAGGCTGCGGACTGGTCAGCAGAACTCAATGACACAGATTTTTAAAGCAGTTTGTGTGTTGATATTGCTTTAAATGAGGTCAATACACTTTTGTTTGAAGCACCTCTAGTTGAGGCAAATCATTATCAATACTGGATTAACTCTAAACTGATTATTCTAGCAAATACTGAATAAAAACACAAATCCACCTAAATTATATACTTACCATTAACTCAATGGCTCCATAACATTAAACCTGACAAGTTACTTCACACTGTAACTCAGCATTTTTATTTTCCTTTACGTGTATTTAACTGTCTCTAATTTCATTTCACATATTTCTAGGATCTATGTAATTCTATGTAGCATATAGGCCAAAGATGTAGTATGAATGTCACAGTGAAAGCTTCTTAAAGAATGTATTCACGGCTTAGCTAAGGTTCTCACTTCTGGTCTGCTGCTTACTCTATTACAAATATTTGGGAATTACATGAAGCAAACTCTTGGAGTGTTAGGGTTTAGAGCAGAAGGGACTTTGACCTGTAAACATACTGAGAATGTCTCAGCTTTCCCAACGGGAAGAAGAGAAGATGCAGGAAGGATGGGGATCCAGAATCAAAGACAATGATTTCCAGGAAGTTGTGTTTAGATCTGGTTAGTTAATGCTGCTCAAGTCTGATGAGGTATTATAGATGCATAAAGTTCTTTAATTATGACAAAACGTGAACTTGACAGCTAGAAGTTCACACAGACATATATATAGTAACACTAAGAGCAAAGTCCTTTTTGTTTTACTTTAATTAATTAAAAATTTAAGATTTATTTATTTTATGTGTATCAGCATTTTGCCTGTATGTATGTATGTGTACCATATGTGGGTCTGAGCGCTTGTAGAAGTCAGAAGAGGAAATGGAGTTAGAGATGCCTGTGAACTGCCATATTAGTGCTGGGAACCAAACCCAGGTCTCTGCAAAAGCAATGGTGCTCTCAACTGCTGAGCATCCCTCCAGATCCTAAAAATGGTTTTCTGGGGACAAAGTCTCACTTGGTAGTCCAAGCTTGTGGTAATCAAACCTGTCTCAGCCTCCTGAACACTGGGATTACATGTGTGAACCACAAAGCTTGGCTAAATACCTTTGTATGTTTTGCCAAGTTTTTACTGTTAGCCTGTAAGATATGAGGCATTTAAACTTACAAACATATGATCCAATGTACAAACCAGAACTTCTTTCTTTCTTTTTTTTTTTTAAATAACAAGTGTCTTTAAAAAAAAATATTTATTTATTTATTGTGTATACAGTATTCTGTCTGCATGTATGCTTACAGGCCAGAAGAGGGCACTGGATCGAATTATGGATGGTTGTGAGTCACTATGTGGTTGCTGGGAACTGAACTCAGGACCTCTGGAAGAGCAGACAGTGCTCTTAACCGCTGAGCCATCTCTCCAGCCCCCTCAAGGGATATTTCTATGGGCTCCAATTAACCTCCACATCTATTCTAGTGTCTGCTTAATTTTGAGTAAGAAGTCACCACTGTATACTCAACCACAAATAGAGCTCGTCCTCCCCTTTGTTTTAATAACTACATACCTCTTTTTATGTGCATTTTATCATTACAAATGAGAAGGTTGTTTCTCTCCCCCCAGCAGCCACTGACTGCCTGTAGCTCTCCATCTAGGGGTATGGCCTTGACAGCCTGATGCTGTCAATACTCAGGTCTTGTTTGGGCAACCACATTGTTGAGATTTCATGGATACAGCTTCCCTGTCATGTCTAGAAAACACTGCCGCCTCACAGCAGGGTCCCTCAGCGTAGGAAACTTCCCCACATAATATCTCCCTGCTGCCCGTTCCGATCACAAACATTAGTTATTCCTTTTAGAAGTTACAGATCTCATATATACCATACTTAAACCTATCTGTTCTTAGGACTTTTAATGACTTTATATGATTATCAAATACCCAAGTTTTATCATGCATTAGAGGCAGTCCCTTCTTGCCGTCATTTCACACTCCATGTTCTAGCTACATGAGCCCACTTGCTACTTCAAAGGTGTGGTGGCTTGAGTGAGAATGTCCCCCATAAACTCATAAATTTGAATGCTTAGTTTCCAGGTGCTGGACTATTTAGGAAAGACCAGGAGGTGTGGCCTTGTTGAAGAAGATGTGTCACTGCAGGGTGGAGTGGTGGTGGTGGGGGGGGGAAGGCATAGGCTTTGAAGTTTTAAAAGCCCAAACCAGGCCCAGTCTCACTCACTTTCTGCCTCCTGCTTGGTGATCAGGAAGTAAGCTCTCAACTACTGCTTTCACATCATGCCAGCTGGCCAGCAGCCACACCTCCACCTTAATGATCATAAATTACCCCTATGAAACTGCTTCCAATTAAATGCTTTCTTCTGTAAGTTGCCTTGGTCAACTTACAGAACAGTAACTAAGACAGAAGGCATGCTTTTGTTGTTTTCTGTTTACTTCTGTTGTTTTGAGACAGACTCACTATGGAGCCCAGGCTGGCCTTGAACTCTCCATCCTCCTGACTCATCCTCCTGAGTGCTGGGACTGTAGCACTACACCTGGCTTTGCATTTTCTTCTCTAAAAGAAAGATTTTATTCATATATATATATATATATATATAGTTTGTTTGTTTGTTTTTTTGAGACAAGGTTTCTCTGTGTAGCCCTGGCCATTCTGGAGTTCACTCTGTAGACCAGGCTGGTCTCAAACTCAGATTCTCCTGCATCTGCCTCCCAAGTGCTGGGATTAAAGGTGTGTACCACCACTGCCCAGATCTATTATTTTTAAATTTTGTGTAAATGTGTGTGTTTGAGTGGGGATTTGTGCATGTAAGTGCAGTGCCTGGGGAGGTCAGAAGAGGGTATCAGGTCCCTTGGAACTAGAGTTAGAGGCAGCTTGAGTTACTTAACACAAGAGCTGAGAAACTGAACTTTGGTCTTCTGTAGGGAAAGTACAGGCTCTTAACCTCTTAGCAGCAAAACCTACCTCTCCTGGCCCTTCTTTAAAAGATTTTTAAAACTTGTGTGTGTGTGTTAGAATGTGCATATGAGTGTAGGTGTTCATGGAGGTTAGAAGATGGTAATGGATCCCCCCTGGAGCTGAAGTACAGGTGGTTGTGAGCTGAGGGACAAGGGTGCTAGTTAGTGAACTCTAATCCTTTACAAGAGCAGTGCATACTTTTAGCCACTGAGATCTTCTACAGGTTCCAAATTGACTTTTTATAAATTCTCCATTTTTTAATTGTCTTCCTATCTACATCTATATGCTCTTTACTCTCTGCTCCACCATGGAAATCCCATTCATTGGTCCGGATCCTGTCTAATGCCACCTTCTTTAAGAAGTGCTTTTGATTCATCTAGTGAAAATTACCTTCTCTCTGGTATTTTCAGTCCTTCACTGGTACTTTGAGTCTAGCCTCCACATTTCCTAGCTCAGTGCTTACACAGTGTGGACTCAATAAATATTTACAAAATGAATGAAAATGAATTACCATAATATGCCAGATTCTTGGCAGGGACTGTTGCTCTTTGTATACCATCAAGCACACAGAGAGCAGTCAATAAACACTGAATGGAACTCACTGCAAAGACAAACAACAGAAACCCAGAGGGCCGTTGGGTTTAGCATTAAGCCTTTGCATTAAACAAAACAAAACAATATAAAATCAAGGTTAGCTAAATCAATTAAATGTATCAGGTGTGCTACCAGATGGAGAGAAGCTATGCAACACTGTTCTGGAGGCAGTGCTGGGCCCTGCTGTCCACCAGCCCAATGCAGAACTCAGGTGAACAGAGAAGCTACCAATTAGGTGTTTGTTTATAAATCTGCTTGATTTGTGTAACATAGACTATTACTTGAATAGAAAATTCCATGTATTAAAACAGTAAATTCTCGCGTATCACCAAACAACAATTCTACCCTGTTCTTTCCATGTAAATACTCTCTGATCTAACTGCATTTTGAAAAGAGAACCTAACTCAACTCTGCCTAAAACCCCAGGAAAAGTAAATTTATAAGCAATCTTTGGGAAGTTATAAAAGTTCAAGGAAACCTTGAAAGAAGGAAGGAAGGAAGGAAGAAAGGAAGGGAGAGAGGGAGGGAGGGAGGGAGGGAGGGAGGCAGGCAGGCAGGCAGGCAGGCAGTCAGCCAGCCAGCCAGCCTGGACAGCTCACAGCTGGCTGTAACTCCAATGGCAAGCCAATGCCCTATTCTGGCTTCTGCAGGCACTGCATGCATGTGATGTGTACATGTACATCCAGGCAAATACTCTCACATGCAGAGGCAGGAAGAGATTTGAGTTTGAGGCTAGCATGGTCTACACAGTAAGTTCCAGGTTAGCTGGAACTACATCGTGAGACCCTGTTGGAGGAAAAAAAAAAATGTCTAATTTACAGATAGTACTGGATGATTAGTGGGAAAGTGTTTGATGCCCTAGTTCTCTGATTGAAGACAGGGATTTATTTATTTATTTTTTTACTTTATCATTTTATGTGTATGAGTGTTTGACTGAATGCATGCATTTTACACTACATGTTTGCCTAGTGCCCTTGGAGGTTAGAAGAGGGTGTTGGATGCCCTGGGAATGGAGTTACAGACAGAGATGCCATATGGATGCTGGGAATCAAACTCTGGTCCTCTGTAAGAGCAACAAATGCTCCTAACTGCTGAATCAACTCACCGACCTCCTTTCTCTTCCTAGGTTTCACACTGTGCTGGCATCCCCTTACCTGGCATTGCCTGGCAGCACAGACAAGTAGCTGAATGGACAGATTTCTCATTCAGAATTTCTGGGTTCAACTTTGGCTCTACTGAATACCACCTATTATATATGTTTTAAATTTTCCTTTCTAAAAACCTAAACTGTAGGATTAAGAGTGAAGAGCATGTCCACTACACATGCAAAACCCTGCGTATTATGCTGGTATTCAGTAGCCTCTATCAAATTCTAGGCATTGTTAGTTTTTTTAATAGGTGGTTCAATTCTTCACTTCAAAATGTTATACATGGCTAGGTGGTGGTAGTGTACACCTTTAATCTCAGCACTTGGGAGGCAGAGACAGGCAAATCTCTGTGAGTTTAAGGCCAGCCTGGTCTACAGAGTGAGTTCTAGGACAGCCAAGGCTATTACACAAAGAAACCCTGTCTTGAAAAACCAAACAACAACAACAACAACAAAAAGTTATACATGAACTAGTCCTAAGACTACAAATAATAATTAGATTTCCTCTACATACACAGTGAAGATTCAGTATTGGTATGTTTCAGAAGACCCAAACCACTCTGAATATGTAAAGTAACTGTACTAAGTATTAACGTACATTTTTTCTAGGGAAGGGTACATAGCTTTCAACAGTCCTAAAGGGTTTTGTGATATACCCAATTCCAAGGACTAATACCTACTGTTCACTACTCTTATTCATTTATTTTTGTGATGCTGGGTGTAGTAGTTTGAATGCAATTGGCCCCCATAAGCTCATAGGGAGTATTACTATTAGGAGGTGTGGCTTTGTTGGAGCAGGTATGGCCTTGTTGGAGGAAGCGTGTCACCATGGAAGCAGGCTTTGAGGTCTCATATATGCTCAAGCTATACTTCCTGTTGCCTGTGGGATCAAGATGTAGCTCCTTCTCTAGCATCATGTCTGCCTGCACACTGCCATGCATGATGATAATGAACTAAACCTCTGACACTGTAAGTCATTCAATTAGATGTTTTCCTTCATAAGAGTTTCTGTGGTCATGGTGTATCTTCACAGCAATAGAAACCCTAACTAAGACATTGGGGATGGAACATAGGATCTGACATATGGGGAACAAGTACTCTATTGCTGAGATACAGCCAGCAACCTAACACATTAGAATCTTTTTGTTGTTGTTTTTCAAGACACTGTTTCTCTTGTAACAGTTCTAGCTGTCCTGGAACTCCATCTATAGACCAGGCTGGCCTTGAACTCACAGGATCCTCCTGCCTCTGCCTCACAGAATGCTGGGATTAAAGGCATTTGTCACCATGCCCAGCTAGACTCCTAAAAAAATGACTTCTTTTATGTGTATAAGTGTTTTGTCTGCAGGCACATATGTGCACCATGGGCATGCCTGGTGCCTACTGAGGCCAGAAGAAGGCATGAATCCACTGTTACTAGAGTTATGGATGGCAGTACCACCATGTGGGTACTGAGAATTGAACTGGGGTCCTCTGTAAGAACAGTGAATACTCCTAACTTCCAAGTCTCTTCATCCCTCTTTTTTTTTTTTTTTTGGTTGATTTACTTATTTGGGTATGAGTGTGTGCAGGTGTGCAGACATGTGCTGTTCTCCAGTTATCATCAACTTTGCTTTGTTTTTTATTTATTCATTTGGTGTGTGCACATGCACCCTGTGCATGCAGATGCCTGGAGAGCCAGAAGGAGGAACTAGATTTCCTGGAACTGCACTAACAAATTGTTGCATGCCTCTCAACGTGGGTTCTGGGAACTGAACCCAAGTCTTCTCCAAGAGCACCAAACACTGATAACTGCTGAGCCATCTCTCAGGCCTCACCTTGGTATCTGAGACAGGATCTCTCACTGGGATCTTGAACTTACTGATCCAGATAGGCTGGCTGGCTAGCAAGCTCCAGGGATTCTCCTGTCTCTGCTCCCCTAGCACTGATATTAAAAACATACACACGTGACCACGCACTAGTCTTTTTTATGTAGGTGTTGGGGTTAGAACTCAGGTCCTCATGGCTACACAGCAAGCATGTTACCAACTGAGCTGCCTCGCCAGGCCCATCGGTTCCTTTTAAAAAGGTGCATTCATAATATATCTAAGGCTGTAGAGGTCAAGCTTGAATAATTTTCTTATTCAAATGTCAATTCCAAATATGCCCTTTCAGTGTGTCTTGACTCTCTCCTCACATTCTGTGCTAGGTAAAATGCCCTTTCCAGTAAAACGTTTCCACAGCTGCATCAGGCATTCTGAGTCTCACCTGCACCCTCATTCCAAGAATGTGGACTTGAAGCAAACATGTTATCTCTGTGGATAATAAAAACATATCGCCCTCTTGAATGCTTCTGTCTACGTGGTCCCAAAAGCATGGGCACTGGAACAGCTCTATGCCTAATTGCTAAGAATTTCAGAAAAACAGTTCCAGAAGGGGTCAAATCACTTTAGAACAAATACAAATAAACACTCCCAGAAATTTCCAGGCTTTAATTCAGTTGAGGTGCTCGGAGTGATTTGTCTTTGGTGTTGATGACAAGTAGAAAATCATTTAGCATATATGTATGCATACATGTGTGTTCACGCATGTGTGTGTGTGTATGTGTTGCTAGGCTTGGGCATGGTTGGCAAGCACTCTATTGCTGAGCTCCATTCCCAATGGAAATCTTTTAACTTTTTTTTTCCTCACTCCTTTTTTTTTTTTTTTGAGATAAGATCTCATGCAACCCAAGCTGGCCTCAAACTTTAATTTCTTATGTAGTCAAAGGTGACTGACTTTCTGATCCCTCTGCCTCCACCTCAGAGTGTTGGGATCACAGGCATAAACCACCACACCTGGTTTTATGTGGTGCTGAGGATCAAACCCATGGATTCATGAATGCTAGCTATGCCCTCGACCAACTGAGCCACACTCCCAACTCAGTCATTTGACTTTTGCTCCCTAGAAGGCTCTTTCCTTCTGCCAATGAATTTAACTGATCCTTACAGTGATAGTAAAACCCAAAACAAAAGCCAGAAAACGTGCTTAGTGTTAGGTGAGCTTAGGATAGCTAAAGCAGGACCCAGTTCTACGTGATCAATAACTAATCAACACCCAGCACTCAGCCTTGGCTGCTCCACCCACATGGTTACCTGTGATGCAGTCAGGCTGGGCGGTGCTGCTGACTGCTGGGCGTGCTGCTGCTGCTGCTGCTGCTGCTGTTGCTGCTGCTGTTGCAGTGGCTGCAGTGGCTGTAGTGGCTGCGGCTGTGCTGTTTGTAGTTTATTTTCAGACTGTGACAATGGCTGTATCTGGAACTTGTCCGGCTGCTCTTGCTTGACTATTAGGTTCTTCCGCAGCTGTTCAACTACTCTTTTCTACCGAGGAAAGACAAAGACCCATCAGAAGGCTGTTCACGCTCTAGCTTCCTCTAACATTTACTACATCTAATTTACAGATTCTAACATGAGGAACTAAAGAACCTTACAGATACTTTAATTAATATGAAACCACTGCTATAAGAAACGTATTATATATAAAGGAAACTGAGGCATACAGATTTAAAAAGTGAAGCAGAGCCTACTGCCCCTCCCTTTCACTGTCCCTCCTTTTTTTCTTCCTCTCTTCTCTTTTCTCCCCTGCCACACTCTTTCCTTCAGGTAGCTTCACTACGTAGTCCAGTGGGCCTTGAACTCATTGTCCTGCTTCAGCCTCCCAAATGCTTGGATTATAGGGATGAGCCGCTACAGCCAGTTCAGATTTCTTGGCCATTGTCCATTTACCATGTGAGGCTGGAAGAGCAGAACAGCACAGCCGTATAAATGTAACTCTAGAGCCACACTGTCTAAACACATGCCCAGTTTATACGATGCTGGGCACGTGTTTTTAACTAACCTGTCCCGTAGTGCCCTGGTCTGTAAAATGAGACCATAGAGCACCTCTTATGAGCAACAACTGAACTGATCTATATGGAGTACTCAGAACTGACTGGCATATTACTGGTCATTATTAACTTTTTGTCTGATATTTAACAATTTAAGCAAGCATCATGTATCTATCCCAGTTTGAAACATTAAGTAGGGTTCAGGACATAGCTCAGTGGTACAGCACTTTGGTAACATTCACAAGGCCTTCAGTTCAATCCATAGTATCTCTCTCTCTCTCTCTCTCTCTCTCTCTCTCTCTCTCTCTCTCTCCCCACCCTTATTTTTAAATGAAGAAACTGTTGTATGCTATACAAACAAAAAGCATTCTGAACTACTGAAATGTGTAACTACTGAGTAGGACTTCTTAGCTGGGACAGATTTTAGGAATATATAATAGAATCATATGCTATCTGTTTAGGCAGAATAGAAGTTTAATTACATAGAAGAGACATTTAAAGTCAAGTTGGATGAAGTGATGTACATCTTTAATCCCAGCATTCTGGAGGCAGAAGCAGGTGTATCTCTGAGAGTCCAGGCTAGCCTTGTCTACATAGTGAGTTCAAGGACAGTTTCTGATACATAGTGATATCCTTTTTTTTTTTTTTTTTTTTTTTGGTTTTTCGAGACAGGGTTTCTCTGTATAGTTTTGATGTCTGTCCTGGAGCTCACTCTGTAGATCAGGCTGGCCTCGAACTCACAGAGATCCACCTGGCTCTGCCTCCCGAGTGCTGGGATTAAAGGCATGCACCACTACCGACCAGCCATAGTGATATCTTGTCTCAAAAAAAAAAAAAAAAAAAGAAATAAGAAAATTTAAAGTCAAGGTTTATAAACTTCCTGGGCCGTGCTTTTTTAAAAAAAAGTGTATTTTTTGATTTTTTTCATTATTATAGTAATCTATCCCTCCTTACCTGCCTCTCCTTTTTTGGCACAGAAAAGTGGTTCTCAACCTGTGAGTCACAACCTCTTGGGGGATCAAATGATCCCTTTTTACAGGGGTCACCTTGGCCATTGGAAAACACAGATATTTACATTATGATTCATAACAGTAGCAAAATTATAGAAAATAATTTTCTGGCTAGGAGTCAGCACAACATGAGGAAGTGTATTAAAGAGTTGCAGCCTAACTAGGAAGGTTGGGAAGCACTGGGGTTGACCATGCGCACTAGGCAAGCACACAGCCATTAGCCACCCCACCAGACTCTACAACCAGTCCATCTGATTACCAAGTGAGAGCTACGAGGATGCAGGGCTCTGCCCACAGCTCCACTCTGCTGAGCACTGTGCTGCTAAGCACACTCCTCATCCTCTGCACAGAGTGTACAGAGTAGTCCCTGGCTCAGAGGAGCTGCCCCACCATCTGGGGCCAGGCCGGTCTCTGACTTTCCTGTCTCAACCACTAGCAAAAGGAAAACATCGTTCCTCCTCCAACACTTTCAAGTGAAATTTTTGATAATAAAGGTTGATATTTTCTGATATAGATTATGACTGAAGAAAATGGAGCTTAGTGCTAGTTGAGGTTAGTATAGTTTTGATTAATTAACTTTTTGAGATAAAGTCTCAAGTATAAGGTTTTCCCACACTAGTCTCAAACTCACTGTGTAGTCAAGGATGACCTTGAACTGATCATTTTTGGAGTTCTGGGAATATATGTGTCACCACCATACCTAGTTTATGCAATGCTGGGGGTCAAACCCAGGGGCTCATGTATGCTAGTCAAACAGCCTACCACTGAACTACACCCCATGCCCTCAAAAGAAAGCTTTAAATAAGGGGCTCATGGAATCCAGAACAGTCAGGTTAATTTGCAAATTACTAATGTGGCTCTAACTGACTTTGCTGCTCAAAGTCTCTAGAGAACCTGAACCCGAAAGTTACTTCACTTAGCATGTTGGAGTAGTAAAATATCCATAAAATAGATTTTTAAAAAAACATTTAAGTTAATACTAACTTTTACATCCCTGAAAAGTTTTAAAATATTGTTATTAATTCTTTTCAAATAATGAAAATATTACATAAAGGCCAATTTAGGGAAGGGAACCAACTGTACATTACACACCATATTAGCACTGCCTTTATGGGTATAAAAAAATTTTTTAATGCAGTCCAAGGCTTTTGGAGAAGACACAAGCAGAATAAAAATTTAATACACTTTAAAATACTTATAAAAATAATGTTGAAGTCTTCAAACTATTTCCTGAGTATAAAAGGCCCTGCAATGGAGGTGCTGCAGTTCATGGCGGCGAACTGCAGGAAACTGTGAGCACCGCACTGAGACGTTAACCCTGGTGCCTGTCTGGACACTTAGATGCTTAGAAGTGAAATATTATTAGAATTGCTTTCAGTCTTCCTCCTCATCACATATCAAGTAGGCGTCACCAGAGAAAAAGACTCCTGCAAATCTTTCTACAAACAGAGTGAGAAAGCAGGAGGACACGAAAGGGTGGCCCTTGCCAAAGGGAGAGGGGGTGGGGAAGGGAGGAGCTGTGAAGTGGTGTACCAGGCACAGGAGGACATGGCGTTTTCTCCTCTCCAGCCACCCATAGGAACTACAGTGTGTTGTCCTGATTAGCCTACGGAAGTGAACTACAATGAAGACACAAAGCCCAGGACCTGTTCCCCGTGGTGTGGGTAACGGCAAGGAACCGCAGAGGCAAGACCTAAAGAGATGCAGGCTAGAGAACTCTTCAGCCAGCTGGCTAGAGCAGGGTGATGGCCAATCAGAACCAGAGGCGGAGTGGGAGTCAAGTGAGTCACACTGCATTCATAACAGTTCCTCCCCAGAGCCTAAAACAAAGTCCTGAGACCTGCTGGTGGGGAGGGAAACCTACACCCAAATACCTGTAAAGCTACATCAGTCCTCAAGAGAAAGGAAAAAAGCCTGTGGGTTGGACGGTTCAGATCTCATGAGCTGGGTAAAGTTTCCTGTAGAAGACAGTTCCAGTATTTGAAAGCCTTGCCCAGACCAGAACAGTCTGGTCCCTGTCCCTGCTGCTCTCACCGACTGTAATACCATAGGCACATGGCTGTGTTTGTCTGCAATTTTTGAGAGCTCAAGGTTTGGGGAATGTTGTTGCTTCCTGTCACTTAAATATCTGAGTTGAGTGCAGTCAGAAGTCCAAGGACGGAAAGCAGAGAGCTCTGTTGCAGAGGTGCCCTGCACACCAGCAAGGCCAGGCTGCCGAGGGAGCATTGCATGCCTGAGAGATTTTCTAAGTCCCACAGTCTCGATACTCAGACACACACAAAAACAGTTCAGAGGACGTGGGTCAGCACCAGATCTGGGTACAAGTGAGAGAAGACAACGATGGTGTATCAGAAATCCTTACCAAGTGTGATCAGGCAGCATTCTCAATGCCTCATACCAAAGACATCCTCTCATCACCCAGCAGATGGGCCTACACTGTCACCACTGTGTTTTGAACAAAGAAATCATGGTTTTTGTGTGTTTGTTTGTTTTGTTTTTTGCCAGCCATTACTGGAGGTAACTCTAGTATAAACAGATTTTCAATGGTGTTCACATATGAGAAAGATCTTTGAATGTGGCAAATTATCTCAGTTCATAATCCTGAAGGTCTCAGGAAAGATTAAATATCACAAACTGGCCATTTGACATTACTAAAAAGTTTTAAAAGGTTTTTAAAGATTATTATTAGTATTACTAATTAATTTTGGAGAGAGGGTCCCTCTATACAGTGTTGGCTATCCTGGAACCTACTATGTAGATCAGGCTGGCCTCTACCTCACAGAGATCCATCTGCCTCTGCCTCATGAATGCTGGGGTTAAAGGCATGCTTAAAAAGGTTTGTTTTTTTGTTTTGTTTTGTTTTTTGTTTTTAAAGGAAGTGGTAACTGAAGGAAAAGAAAAAGAAAATTAGGAAAGAATGATGGTAGACAGGAGGGAGAAAGTAAACAGCTTCTAGACTTCTCCCAGTGTATTTTCTATAAACAGCGGCCAGTGCGGCCTGCTCCTAGAAGGGCTGGTCCTGCCCCCCAATCCCTCTGTCAAGTGTTCTATAAACTAGTCTGTGACGGACGAGCCCCTCACCTCCTTGACTCTTATATCACACGGTTTCATTTGGGCTTGTTCAGGCAGAAGAGTTCACAGGGTATCGGCGATCGATACTGTGACATTCAGAACTGTATAGATCCAATAAACAGAATACAGGCTCATATGCCTGTTAGCTCAAGCAGCAGTTCCAAGTTCCCCGTCCATGAACACAGAAAGAGATGGGGAACAGGAGGGCAAGCCTACCACTCCCATGGGAGTCGCTCCTTGTTTCCATCACATCTGTGCACAGACTCTAGAGCATGTCTCTCAGAAGAAACTCAAGCTCTCGACCCTTTTCTCCACAGCTGGATGGATGCTGGTGCTTCAAATTTTCGCTTTTGCACAAGGTCACTCAACTAGTTTGTGCTCTGTGCAGCAGCATCTATTCTGAATCAATTAA